TAGTGTTTGATGGTGTACAAGTTGTGGTCTATGGTTTATGGGCTGTTAGGTATCAATTGGGTAATGGTAAGATCAATGAGAAATGAGATCTGGGCATGGAGGGACATCATGAGCAGGAGTAAACATGCAAACATGACATCAGTCAATTTTTGGATAGTGCGGAAGGAGAGGAGCAGAAGAGCTTCTGATGGGGTGGATGATGTGAACGAGTTTGATTTACTTGAAAACAGATGATTCTAGACCCTTGGATTTTTGTTATTGGGTTATACTCCATCGTTGATGCAGGATTTAGGGGACCTAATTGATAAATCGATAGATTTATAAATAGTTTTGTATATGAGTTGGCACCCATTTGGTGCCGATATTAATATAATACTTTGTATTTTTTATTTAAAAAAAAAAATGTTAATTTTTGTTGACTTGTGGTGAATATTTGCTGGCGAGAAACCGCAGGATATTTCACTCCATGAGCTGCAGAAGAGGTAATGTTCTTGGTCATCTTATGGGCCAAAGCTCATGGGAATTATTCCGATGTAGCGAGGAAGCTGTAATTGGAATTGGGAGGTGGTCACTTATTTTCTATAGGTGGCTTTGGCTGCTTTGATTTTTCTGCAATTGTTTCTTTTATTTACATTCTTTGAGGATGTTTTATTCTCTATTTATGTATTTTTTTCTCCCTTTTCCTAATAATACTTTTTTTTCTACAAAAAGACATTCTAATTACATTGTTCTCGCTAAAAAACTTTTGTCTTTATTAATCCAATGAAACCTAGGATAAAAACAGTTCACATTCTACATAATATGGTTCTCACTAAAAAGTTTTTTACATAAACAACAACGAAGAGAGCATTATAAAAATTAATTTCTATTGGATTATCAAGATGAAATAAAAAACTAATAAAAATGTTGCAAAATAAAATATCTTTGCAAAGGTTTCCTCTAAGGCTTCCTTCGTCTTTGTAGCTTGTACTCAAAGGAAAACAAGTAGAAATTTAGATTATTAGGTTAAGCAATCATAGGAAAAATAAAATCAAGCACTAAACTTTCGTAGCCACATTTGGAAACTGTTAATGTGTCTTGAATTTTGGTAATATTTATTTATGTTCTGAAAGATAATTTATATGAGTTTTCTTTATATTTATACTGGAAAATATTTGATATATATCTTAGAGAGTTTTTGTTTATGAAAAACTCTATTAGTCTTTTTATAAATCGATTTGCTAATCTATTGGTAATGTACTCTCTTTTAATCATAGTAGAATATTTTTCTTACTGATCTTACCCGTGAATGTATGCACATTGGCGAACCACGTAAAATCTTGTGTTGTTTTCTTTTTTGTTTTTACTCTGTTTGTGATTGTGCATGCTTGAGAGATTAATTTTTCCAACAAATGGTATCAGAATCCAAGTTTTGTGAGAAAACTTGCTAAGAGAGAGAGAGAGAGAGAAAGAGAGAGAGAGAGAGAGAGAGAGTGTGTGTACAAATCTGATATGATCAAGCCCCATTGTAGATTAGATCAGAGAAAGAGGAAATAGAGGCGACATCCACCATGGGCGGTGGATCATATTAAATCTGCGCGAGGAGTGGTGGGTTTTCAAAGAAGAAGAATCGACCTCCCATGCGGTTTGGAACTAGAAGGTCTGCAGGCGATGATGGCTGACAAGGGTGTCTAGAAGCTCGCCGAATCTGTAAGGAGGAAGGAGCTGCAGATGGTTCCGTTTCGGCCAAAAATAAAAGAAGAGGCTCGCGATCTGACCGGAGTTGCAGTTATGCACAACAAATGGACGGAGAGAAGCCATACGAAGCCGTCTGTGCGCGAAACCAGAGCCGGAGAGGGAGAACGCGCGTCGGAGAAGACGAACCAACGCGCGACACCTAGTTGGCATGAGGCCCGATTTGCAGTGTTCCTGGCAGTTTTTCGGTACATATTCACTAGATTCGTGCTGAATCCGTCGAGTCGCACGATTCTATGCGTTTTTTGGTGTTTTCTGGCATCTGGCAAGTGGCAATTGGTGGTGGCACATGAGAGCTCCAGCGATGCGGATGTGATTGTGCGTGGAGGAGCGTGCAGCAGTGACTCATCGTGAGTGGTTTTTTTTATTTTGTAGCAGTGTTATTTCTCTCTGTTTGGTTTTTTAGTGCATAGTTTAAAAATTTGAGATGACATCCATAAAGTATAAGATAGAGAAGTTTGACAGTGGTACAAGTTTTAGTTTGTAGAAAATTAGAATGAAATCGTCCCTGATTCTACAATGCTTATGGGGGGCAATTGAAAAAAGATATCTTGAGAGTATTAGAGAGTCGGGAAAGACAAATATATAGGATAGAGTCTTATGTGCGATTTTTATAAGTGTCAATGACAATATTGTATGGGAGATTGCTGAAAAGATTTCAACTTCAGCTGCGTGGAAAAAATTGGAAGAGTTGTACTCTATAAAATCGCTGACGAACTGCCTTGATTTAAAGAAAAAATTATACAATTTCAGAATGAGTGAAGGTACGCCCATTAAACAACATCTTGATGAGTTTAATTCTTTAATTATGGATTTAAATAACATAAATATTAAGATTGAAAATAAGGATCAGACATTGATTGTTTTGTGTTCATTACCATCTTTTTATAAGATTTTTAAAACTAATATTTCAGTAGATGATATTAGCAATGCACTAAAATTAAAAGAGTTTTAAAAGAACCTTACCGAGTATAGAACAGAAGAGAAATGTTTGATAAGTAGGGAAAAGACACAGAGAATGGACAAATTAAAATCTAGAAGTAAAAAAAGAAACTGTTGTGAGTGTGGGGGAGAAGGGTCATTCTAGGAGAGATTGTTATATGCTGAAAAGAGGAAAAACAAAAAGAGTTCTGCAAATATAGTTGATATAGATAATTCTGATGATAGTGAGAATAACAATGTTGGGATACTTCTATCTGTGAATTCGGATCATATCAAGAATTCCTGAATTCTTGATTTTGGTGCTACATTTTACATGTGTTCACATAGACATTGGTTGGTTATTTACAAGTAGATGAGTGGTACCGTATATATGGGAAGATGACTGTTCATTATCTGTAGCCGGGATTGATA